GTTGGAGGGAAGAAAGAAAACAGAGTTATTGCTTAATAGGTTTCAGTTGCGAAAGATGAAAAAGTTCTAGATGAATGGTAGTAACAGTCACACAACAATGTAAATGTACTTATGGCTGCTTTCATACTGTAATGGTGGAGTGGAAGATTTGTGACAAAGACTCTATGGCCCACAAAGCCTAAGATATTTACTAACTAGACCTTTACAGAAAAAGTTTGTGGATCCCCATTGTAATGACATTTTACTCATAATAAAATCAACTGCTAGATACATGACTCATCATACTTTCTGAAATAACTGAAAGAAATGTAAAGACTGCTTGAGTTGAGCTTCCTAAATGATAATCCTTAAAATAGCTTTCATTTTCAAAATTCTACAGTTTCAAGTGGTAACTTCTTGGCAGCAACATGTATGGCACATCTAAAATTACTTTTTAAACTTTAAAGTTTTAAATTAAAAAATTTTAGACTTAATCAAATTAAAGAGCAACATTCTATATTGTCACTGCCTTGGCTTTTGCCTTTGGATAACCTCCTACTATGGCCTGAACGTCTCCCCCAAAAGTTCATATGCAGGAAATTTAATCCCTCTGCCTCCATGAATGGATTAATGTCATTGTCATGGGAATGGGTTCATTATCACAGCCAGTGCCCTCTGGCTCCCTTGCTCTTGGCCTCTCACCATGTGACACCTTCCATCATGTTCTATGTGTACAATGCAGCAAGAAGTCCCTCACCAGATTCCAGGGCCATGTTCTTGGACTTGCCAGCCTCCAGAAATATGAGGTAATAAAACTTTTCTTTATTGACTACCCAATCTGTGGTATTCTCTTATGGTAACAGAAAACAGATTAAGCCAGCTCCACTAGAAGGGAAAATTATACAAGAGTACAACTTCTTGAATCCTAAGGGGCATAAGACGATGCTGCTTTTCTGCCCAGGCTGCAGGAATAGGCTGATCAACAGGAGGGACAGCATTGCTACTGCTTCACCTGCAACACCTGTCCCTACGTGAATAACATCACCCTTAAGGTGACAAATCAGAAGTATCCAAAGCTGAAAGAAGTGGATGATGTGCTTGGGGGAGTAGCTGCCTGGGAGAATGCTGACTCTACTGCAGAGCCGTGTCCCAAATGTGAACATTCTCGGGCTTACTTCATGCAGCTTCAGACCCACCCTGCAGACGAGCCAATGACCACCTTCTACAAGTGCTGCAATGCTCAGTGTGGACACTGCTGGACAGACTAGGGCCAGGTTGGCCCAGCTGCCTGTGTGTCTACTGACCCTGTCCCTTACGGTGCATTCTCAGCTGGGAGTATGAATTGTGTGTCCTGAGGGTCTTCACTGGTTTGACAGAAAACTAACCCTTTTGAGTGTCAAGAAAAGTAGCCTATTTACCCATCAGAATGAATGGATGAAGTTATTAATGTCCAGGGAGTTTTCATGTGTGGGGAGGAGACCAATAACTAGGTATTCTCTGTTTAAGGTCCTGTTCAGTCATCTTTTACATTTACTGGGCAGCTGACATTCCCTTAACACCAACCAACGCTTTTAAGTATTTATAATGTTTATGCAATTTAGTACGTTAACTGTCTCTAAATATTCAATTGTTAATTGTAAACTTAATCAGGATTTATTCTGATTGTTCATTAAAATGGAAAGTCTAAAAAAAAAA